GGTCATGTCCCTATTTTAAGGTCCAATTATTAATAACCTTAAGAAGGTTATTAATTCCTTGGAGAATGAAATGGCAACCCACTCCTGTATTCTTGCCTGGAAAATCCCATGGACGGAGGAGCCTGGCAGGCTGCAGTCCATGGGGTCGCAAAGAGTTGGACACGACTGAGTGACTTCACTTACGTCACTTATTAAAACCTTAATTATATCTTCAAAATCCTCTTCACCATGAAATATAACATAATCACAAGTTTAAAACAAAGGGTATGAGGTCATGGGGACCAAAATTCTGTTTACTTGGCATAAGTCATCATAAGGTCTTTCTCTTGACTTTGCCCAGGTGCTGTGTTGCTCCCTAGGTGGCCCAGCCTCACCATCAGCATCCAGGGTTCAAAGTGGCTAAAGGAAACTGTTCTGCTTCACCAGGAAGTGAAGCACATTTCCCATGGGTTCCACATGTGCATCAAGGCACCTGCCCTTTGTGTCCCCCTCATCTCATCTGTCATTCCTCTGCATTCCTCTGCATTCACTCTCTCTCTCATTCTCCAGAAGTGGTTAGCTCCTGGATTTTCCTTTTTTTTTTTTTTTTTCATTTATTTTTATTAGTTGGAGGCTAATTACTTTACAATATTGTAGTGGTTTTTGCCATACATTGACATGAAATCAGACATGGATTTACATGTGTTCCCCATCCTGAACCCCCCTCCCTTCTCCCTTCCCATCCCATCCCTCTGGGTCATCCCAGTGCACCAGCCCTGAGCACTTGTCTATGTCTCTGTCTCCCCTCCATGGTTCAGAAGCACTGTGGTGATGCTGGCATAGACCTAAGCCCAGGAATTCGTCTTTATAAGTGAAGCATAATGCTTCATGGGGCTTATGAGCACAGAGCCTGAAGCCAGGCAGTTTAGTTTCAAAATTTGTGACCTTGGGTAGATCTCTTAACTGTTTCATGCCTCAGCTTACCTATCTGTAAATGGCAAATAATAACAGTGTCAGATCATTAGCCAGTATTTCTAATACTCAGAGAAGAAACAGTAGGTTCAGTGGATCCAGGCTTGATTCTTGAGGAAACTTAGAAAATTCCCTCACTTTTTCACATCTCTCACTTTCTCACCAAAACTTTGTTTTAAAGCTTCTTGCCTTGGCCCCCACCCTAATGGATATCTTGAACTGGCTAGGATGATAATCATACAAAAACATGGCAAAGAAGTAAACCCATCAGTATTTGTATATGCAGTGTCATGATTTTCAGAATAAATTCATAAATTATATAAGGCTGTTACTATTTTTGTTTTACAGGATGAAACTGAACCTTAGGTGAGGTAGCTGAGTCAATAGCCTACATATAGAGATAGGTGAATAAGCCCAGTATTAGTCATTAACTTCTCATGACTTTACTTGTTAACCAAAGCTAACTTGTCTTCTGAAAAGAGCCTCACAGAGTTTGTTGGCAGTAGTGCTCACTCAGTATTGGTAAAGAGAAAAATCCATGAAAGGACCCTGAAGCTGGAGTCTTATAGAGGGAAGGCAGGTTTGGGTGGTCTCCTGAGCAACTGTCAGTTGTCCTGGACCATTGTTTTACAAAAGAACAATAGAAGGAATGGTGAGAACTCAGAAAGTTTAGGCAGAGAGCTGAAACACATTTTTCGAGAAAAGTCTGGAAAGGGGAATTTCTTCAGTGAATTATGCATTAGAGCAACATACATGTCACTTGAAGGCATTCCTTGGCACAGGCACCTCAAAAGATTTTTTGTTTATCAGGACAATGTCTAATTAGCAAAGGACTTGACCTTTGGCTGCTCATAAGGGAGCTTGTTTTACTCTGTTAGTCTTTTTGTCATGTTTTTTGTTGTTGTTGTGAGTGATGAATGGCTGCTAACACCCTGATACATGTTTCTTCCTTACCCCCATGGAGAAAGTCTGAAGTTATCTAAGTTATTAGTATGTAGGTTGTTTTATCACCTTTTATGGATATACAGTTTGACATTTTTCAAGAATATTTTCTCAGAGATTGAATAAATTGATTAGAGCTTGTTCACGGGCTTGTAAAATTGTGGTGTATGGACAAGCACAATGCTATTGTCTTCTGTTTTTTTATAACCCCTTTTTGTCACTCTTTGTTTTCAGTCAATATTCTAATTTTCCTACCAAAAGCAACTATAATATGTCATTTTTTCTTTGAATTTAAATTATTGAAAAATATATATTTTCTTTATATAGAATCTCTTTTGTGGGCAAAACAGTCTGCATTAAATGTGTGGATGCCTAGTATGGTTTTGAGACATGCTCCTTTGGAATGTGAGAGGCTGGTGTATGATTGCACACTTCATTTATTTGCTTGCTTTCTTATTTGAGGTCAATTTGCTTATTCTACACAGAGGAACACGTTTCTGTGACTAGGTTTTCCCCTTCAACAAATTAATACCATATAACCTTTCCTTGCCTTTTGCTCTTGGATTTTGCCTGTGTCAAAAGAACTGACTGAAAGATTGATCCCCAAAGGAATAAATTGAGTCCAGTGATTTGCTTGGTCACTCTTGTCCTTTCAGTTTTAGATTTATAAGTCTTCTGACCTTCAGGATCCAAGGCTCTGCTCTAATTCTGCTTCTTGGTTCACAGTTGCCTTGAAGTCTTTTTTCAGCATCTCCCATTTTTGCTTGATGCATGCTAGATTAGTGTCTCTAACGTAAGTGCCCCAGCATTTTTGTTTCTCACATCAGCATTTTTTGTTGATCTCTTTAGTAATGCATCAGAACATGCATAAAGATGTTGTGCGCCTTCCTGGTCCACCAGCTTACATGCACAAGCATGCTCATGTAATAGTGGTGGTTCTCTGCATAGTCTACTTACTACCTTTCACTACTGTGTTAAAATGACTTCACTACTCCACTACAAGTTATCCAGCTGTCTTTCCTGTAGGGCCTTCTTGTGCATCATCATTACTGGGGTCACTTATTATTCCATCAGAGCTGGGAAGAAATTTATAGGGAACTTCTTGGGGACTGGAAATCATTGTGTCCTAAGAGATGCTGGGAAAGATTGAGGGCAGGAGGAGAAGGGGATGACAGAGGATGAATGGTTGGATAGCATCACCAACTCAGTGGACATAAATTTGAGCAAACTCTGGGAGATTGTGAAGGATAGGGAACCTGGCATGCTGCAGTTCATGAGTCACAAGAATTGAACATGACTTAATGACTAAACAACAAAAACAACAAAGAGCTGAGTTACTTAGGTAGGACTGGCTTCGACAAGGATGAAGGTATCCTGTGTGGGTAGAAAAAATCTGGCATTTTCATCCTTTCACAACACAGGAAGGTGTGCTGCCTAACAGCAGAATTCTGGGCATGTTAGAGCTGTTATGTAGCAGTTGGTAGTGTGAATGGGAAATGTGTAAAGTGTTTTTAGGTTTTTGGAGGATAGGCAGCATATCTGTGCCAACTATTGTTGTTGTGAAGGAACCCAAGTCTAAATCGGTCTATATGGTTGGATTGCTATGCTTAGTTTATTTAAAACATGGCATTTGGAGAGAGGTAAAATACCAGCACACTGCATCTTCGCTTTTTTTTTTTCTTGAAGCAAATTTGTTAGTTCTGTTTTAAAAGGACTAGCTGTAGCAGGGCAGTAAAGAGACATGTGCCTCTTGTGATAGACCTTTTTTGTAGTGTTAATTCTAACAGAAATAATCATCTATATTGATTTATAAGAGTGGAATGGAGTGGGGACATTGATTCAGAAGAGAACAGCTATGAACAGTTTGATTTATGATGGTATTAAAGCAAATGATTCAGATTCACCTTGCACAATCTAAGGTTGCTTGTCCAGTGGTTAGTTGTCAAAACATATTCATCAGAGAGCAGTCAATTTCTCAGTGAGAAGCACAGGCCTAACAGAATGTCTAATTCATTCTTTTGAGGCTGGGACGAAATCATGTACTTGATATGTGCAAGGTTGCTACCTGCACACCCGTGGTTCTTAGGTAGAAGAGGATTGTTGTAGAATGAAATAAATAACCTTGTCAGACACTCATTTTATGGGACAAGAATGTAAATGCAGTGAGTAATCAGAGAGTATGTAAATAGCAGCAAGCTAATTTTCAGAATCATTGCGACTCATTTTGTAAGATATCTGTCCTATTTAAGAGAATAAAACTCAGCTCTTCCAGGAAGCATAGTATCCTCAGTGGTCAATTATGATGTGACAAAAACAAAGAAGCCTTTTGTTATGACCTGGGGTCTTTCATCTGATTGTCATGATGAGTTTATTGTACTTCTTTAAAGTCTTTGCTGATCTCCTTTGGTGACTGACTTTGATGTCCTTTCCTCAGTTCTCTGGTGGCCTTCTCTGTATTCCTTGATCACAGCACAGGCCACACTGAGGCATAAGTATGGCCAGCCTCTGCTACTTCTGCCTTGAAACCACAGGTACAGGAGGGCAACCACCAAGGCTTCCCAAGCAAATGTGTGTGTATGTGCTAAGTCGCTTCAGTTGTGTCCAGCTCTTTGTGACCCCAGGGACTGTAGCCTGCGAGGCTCTTCTGTCTGTGGGTTTCTCCAGCCAAGGATACTGGAGTGGGCCGAATGCCCTCCTCCAGGGAATCTCCCCAATTCAGGGATCAAACCCACATCTCCCGAGTCTCCTACTTTGGCAGGTGGGTTCTTGGGACTCTCCTTCCTAGTATATAGCAGGTGGATATGTGTACTAAACACTGAGTGAGTGACATATTTCAGTATCAGTTGGGCCCCAAAAGTTTGTCTAATGTAGACAGGTGCCCTTAAGAAATACCCATTTTCAATCTGATCCTGACATTACCACTTCACATTTTCTGATTTCCCTGGCTTCACTTTTCTGATTTCCCTAGCTCTAACTTGATGAGGTTGAACCAGACAGGTAATCTTCAAGTACGTTCTAAGTTTTCGTGACTCATTCATTTTGAACCCCCAAGCTCACATTATTTTTGTGATCATTTCTAACGGATAATGTGTGTTTCTGTAGGGAGCATGACTTCGGCAACTTCACCCATCATTTTAAAATGGGACCCCAAAAGTTTGGAAATCCGGACCCTAACAGTGGAGAGGCTTTTGGAACCGCTCGTTACACAGGTAAGAGATGTTCTGAAATAGTTACCTGTGTATATTTCTATTGCGATTATATCATGATTTTCCAAAGAACGTGAAAGTCCTTAAGCATGAATAAATCATGCCACATTGCTAATTACTTAATATGTATTCCTGCCCGAACTGTGGACAGTTTTTTTTTTCTTCTCAGTAAGATTTGGAATGCTTTTTACAAAAGTTTTCATGTGACTTTTGAAATTAAGTTGATGAAATAATTAAAGAAGGGACTTTGGTGAAGTCTTTGGACCCTCAATTGTAATAATGGATTCAAAGTCTAAATAAATCATGCCTAGCTTGCTTTCAGATGCTAATGCAGTTAGGAAGAACTCTATTGACTATTTAAGAACGAAGTATATTTATTGAATTACTTTGTCGTTAGTTTAAAAGGGAAAATTCATCATGTTGAAATGATGAAATATTCCATTTTTATGTTGTCACATTTCCACATGAGGGTCATTAACAGAAAAACATCCTCTGGAGTTTTAAATTTTAAAAATTAATTTTTAGTGTGTCTTGTGAAGCATATTATTTGCTATATTAACTAAGTATTTCAGAAAGTTAAAATTCAAGATTTTATGGGTATATTTGTAGAGAAATGTCATGTCAAATTAAGTAGAGACCATTTATATTGGGTAGAGATCACTTATATTGGTTTTCTGTAGCTTCTATATCAAATTACTGTAAACTTGGTGGCGTGAAGCATCACAAGTTTATTATCTTATGGTTCTAGAAGTCAGAGGTCCTAATGTTAGGATATTGGTAAAGAAGCATCCCTTCTGGAGGCTTGAGTAGAAAATCTGTTTCTTTGCTTTTTCCATGTTCTAGAGGCCATTCCCTTCTTTGGCCCCTTCCTCCATATTCAGAGCCAGCAGTGTTGCATCTTCAAATCTCTCTCTGACTCTGACCTCTGCTTATGTCCTCATATCTGATCCTGTCTCCCTCTTATTAGGACCCTTATGATTACATTGGGCCCACACAGATACTCTAGAATAATGTCCTCGTCTCAAGATCTTTGAGCAAATCACATCTGAAAGTCTCTCTTTCCATTTTTAGGTAGCATATTCATACTTTCAAAGGATTAGAACATGGACAAAATCTCATCTAAAATTCATCAGCTAAAAATTTCCAAATCTCATCATCTAAATCTTCTAAAGTAGGTATGAGTAAGGTTCTAGATAGGGACTTCCCAGGTGGTGAAGTAGTAAAGAATCTACCTGTTAGTACAGGAAATGCAGGAGACATGGTTTCAGTCCCTGAGTGAGAAAGATTCCCTGGAGTAGGAAATGGCAACTCACTCCAGTATTCTTACCTGTAGAATTCCATGGACAGAGGAGCCTGATGGGTTACAGTCCATGGGGTTGCAAAGAATTAGAAATAATTGAGCATTCTCACGCTTATCATCAAGGTTCTAGTTATATTCCTTCCTCAAGCAAAATTTCTCTCCATCTATGTACCAGTGAAATTAGAAAATAAATCATATGCCTTCAAAATGCATTATGGGACAAGCATAAGATAACAGGTGCAGACATTTTCATTTAAAAAGAGAGAATGTGGAAGAAAAAAAATGGTTACCGGTCTCAGGAAGTTTAGAATTCCAACTGGGCAAACTCAATTAGATTTCCCAGCTTGGTGATAATCCTCTGTGGCTCAAGGCTCTGCCTTCTGGGCCTGGTTCTTTACTCTAAGAATCATTATTCGTTTTTCATGAAAGATAGCATGTATTTTCAGTTGAATATTTCCTGCCTGTGTAACTTGAAAGTACACAGCTTTTTTGAAATTCCTCTCTCTCTTTTTTTCAGTTCATATTGTCAGTATTTCAACTGATTTCTCATTCTTGAGAAACCTGTGGTTCTCTCGTATATATCTGGGATTTTCTCTGTTAGAAAACAGGATACTTTGGAGATGAGGTTATCTATGAAAGATCTACAGTTTGTCCTCTGCTGAAATCACTGAGGGAATCCATAATCCCATGTCCAGTCTTTCCAAGAGCTCCTTGTGTGAATGAACATACCAAGGTTTTAATCCTTCCAAAGCACTAACCAAAGGTTATCTAGACACAAAGTTGACTTTTTCTCAAGAGCCGCTTTTTCCTGAAACTGAGACTTCTAATTTTAACACCTCTTGCAATCCTCCTAGGCTGAGGAGTTTCTGAATTATTGGGTCTTGGTTCCTTTCAACTTAATATTCTTAACAAAAAATTTTTTTGCTGGCTGCATTTTGTGGCATGTGGCAGGATCTTACATTCACTAACCCAGGATTGAACCCGTGCCCCATGAAATAGGGGCATGGAGTCTTAACCACTGGGCCACCAGGGAAGTACCAATAATTCTTGACTCAATATGCTTCTTTCCTCTCACATTTTGCTATAAGCAGGAAGAGGAAACTAGGCCACTCCTTCCAATACTTTGTTTGGAAATGTTCTCAGCTAAGTATTCAAGGTCATCACTTATAACTGGTTTCTACATAATTATAGGAAGCAATTCAACTAAGCTTTCTTCTACTCTATAACAAATATTGTTTTTCCTCCATTTTCCAATAGCATGTTTTTCATTTCCTTCTGAGCCCTTCTTTAATTGTCCATTTATAATGCTTTCAATAATTTCTAAAATGATAAAAGCTTACTCTACCATGTTGTTCACTTCCTTCTGAGTCCTTACCAGCAGGGCTTTTAACATCCATATTTTACTCTCTGTTCAAGGTAATCTAGGCTTTTTCTATCATGCTTAAAGTGTTCCCAGCCTCTGCCTACCATCAATTTCAAAGCCACTTCCACATTTTCAGGTAGGTGTTATAGCAACACCCTACTTCCCAGAACCAAGGTCTGTTTGCCTATATGCTTCCAGTTGCCACTGTGACAAATTAGCACAACCTTAGTAGTTCAAACAACACCCATCTATTATCATACAATTCTAGGGGTCCAAGGTCCTCAACTCAAGATGTTGGTAGGGATGTTTTCCTTAAGGAGGAAGTTCATTCCTATTTTTAGCATCAGGAGTGCACCTGTGTCCTTGGTTGTGGTGTTTTCCTCCATCATTGAAGCCAACAGTTTAGCACCTTTAAATCTCTCCCTCTGACTTCAGCTTCTACCATCATATCTTGACCTCTGACTTTAACCCTCCTTTCTCGCGCATTCCAGGCAGATTTTTTTACCATCTGAGCCGCCAGGGAAGCTCCCTCTTATAAGAACCCCTGTGATGATATTGGGATCACCCAGATATTCTAAAATAATCTCTGGATCTTGAGATCTTCTGCAGAGTCCCATTTGCCATTTAAGGTAATACATTCACAGGTTCTAGAGATTAGGAAGTAGACATGTTTGTTTGTAATTGTTGAAACATTTCATTAGATTTATGCCCTTTTTTAATTTGGTCATGATTTTTATTAGTGCTATACAGATTTATTCAAGAAACACCTAATACTGATAGACTCTTAGATTTGAGAGTATGTTGGCTGCTGAAATTGTGGTTTGTGGACTAAGACTGATCCATGAATTATTTGTTATTGGACAGCAATAAGCACAGATACTTAAAGTGCTTTGAAAAATTTATGATAGTTTTATAGAGTAATTTTATGAATGTTAAAGCTAATCATAAAATTTGGACTTTTTAATCTTTAAATTTCTGGGATTATTCATTGTCTTGTATTTTTAAAAATCTTTGGTTTATGCACTTTTAGAATAACATATATTTGACCTTTCATCATACATAGCTTGAAAAAGCCTGGTTTAGGAGCTTCTTTGTGGTTGGTCTCCTCTGAAATGTAGTTCTGTCAGATGGGTTACAAACACAGATTACTTTTTTCTAGTTTTGGAATTTTCACTTTAGATTACATGCCAATATATTTACCCCTTATCATGCAGATGAAATGAAGCAATAATTAGAACAGTGCCTCATGGTGATTAAATGTAGTTTCCATTTTTCTTTTCTTGATGGTTGTATTTCAGGTTCATACTGGTCATAAACCAATACTGTATAAGTCAGTGAGAAGGATACAAGTGAATCTAGCATGGGCAAGCACAATATTACACATAAACTGTCTCTTCTTAAAATTTTCATATCTTTAGATATTTGCTCTTGCAGTTAACTTATCTAAAGACCAACACATCTAAGATTACATTTAAAAGTTCCAGACTTTTCCATTTATTTTTCAATCCAGTCATTTCAAATTCTTCTGTCAATAAAGGTAATACATTAAAAATATTTGTTGAAAATAAAGACAGTTAATAGTCTAATTCATATTTTTTCACTTAATAGAGGAAAATACTTACAAAGTCTTGCTGAATTTCACACTGTGACTTAGTACTGTAACTATTCTTAACACTTTTCCAATGTCTCCTAATATCTAAATGGTTTACCTTTCTTACTAGTGTTCCTACACTCTCTCAAAAATGTGACTTTTAAGACAGGCTTTTGTAAATGTTGTTTTGCAGTAATATGCTTGTGTTATCAAGACTCACCATTCCCATCCCTGGAATGAAATCTTAAGGGTAAGATTAATGTGACTATTGATCCTTGGAAGACATATGAATAATTTAGGAAAGAGAAGGTAATACTAGATATAAACTCCATGTTCAACATTTAAAGAAAAAGGTAGAAATGAGAGAGAAAACTAACCTAAACAAAGCCCCATATGAATTAAATACATATTACAGTTTTATGAATGGAATAAAATTCACTGAAATATCCAGTGATTCTAGATGCCTGTAGCCATTCTGCAGTATATATAAAGCTGGATAGAGTTGAAATAAACACCAGAAGTTTAGGAGTTCTCAGTGAAATTCATTTACTGTCATAAGAAAAATGTCAGGGATTTACCATCAATAACTATTTAAAGTAGTAAACAAAACTTCATCTCATTTCTATCATAATGTATATAAGGTACATGTTTAACTTACAATGTTGAAATGGCAAGATTCTCTTTGGAACAATTTTATATTATAGAAATCATGCAATTTCATGTGAGAGAAGATTCATCTTATGCATTTT